TCATTGTATTACTGTCAGTTTCTTTCTTTATGTCTGTTAATATTTGCTTCATATATTTAGGTGCTCTTATGTTGGATGCATAGATGTTTATAAGTATTATATCCTCCTGTTGGATAGATCCCTTTATCATTATGTAAAGCCCTTCTTTATGTCTTATTACAGTCTTTGATTTAAAGTCTATTTTGCCTGATATAAGTATTGCCACCCCAGATTTTTTTCACTTATGTTTGCCTGGATTAAGTTTTCCCATCCCTCAGTTTCAGTTTGTGTTTGTCTTTAAGTCTGAAATTCATCTCTTGTAGGCAGAATATAGAAGGGTTTTGTTTTTTTAATCCATTCAGTCACTCTATATCTCTTGATTGGAGACTTTAGATCACTTATATTTAGAATAATTATGAAAGTTACTGTTTTCTGTTTGATTTATCTGTTCATTTATTCTTGTACATTTCCATTGTAATTGATGACTTTTTTTAATGTTCTATGTTTTTATTTGCCATGAGGTTCCTATATGGCATCCTAAGTATAGAGCAGGGGAAGTTAGGGAAGTTTATAAAGGGAAATTTTACTTCCCCTCCAACACATGTATATGACACACCTTTTTATTTTATGATACCCTTAACTAATTTTTTAGATATAATTGATCCCTTAACTAATTTTTTAGATATAATTGATCTTACTCTGTTGGTCTTTTAGCCTTCATACTACCTTTACTGTATGCTTGCTCTTACTAGTAAAAATTTTTCCTTTCATTATTTTCATACTTCTAGTTATAGCCTTTTGTTCTTTTCCTCTTAAACATTTTTTCTAGGGCTAGTTTACTGGTGGAGAAATCCTTTAACTTTTGTATTCTGAGAAACTCTTTATCTCTTTTCTTTTCAGCACTTTGAATATATCATGCCACTCCCTCTGGCCCTAGGTTAGGGAAGTTTTCAGCCCCTTTCTCCTCCTAAGACCCCTATAATGCAAATATTAGTGTGCTTGTCGTGCTTGATGTGTCCTAGAGGTCTCTTAACCTATCTACATGTTTTTTTAATCTGAGTTATTGTATTCTTCAATCAAACTGGCTCTTTTTTAGATTTTTCTCTATCTGTTGAATTTTTCACTACATTCATCCATTCTTACCCCAGATTCAGTTAGCAGTATAACCATTACTTTGAACTCTTTGTCAGGTAGATTACTTTACTTCTTTTCATTTAGTTCTTTTCTGAAATTTTATTTTATTTCATTTGGAGCATATTCCTCTGACTCCTCATTTTATGTGACTTTTGTTTCTATTAATCAGGCAAAACAGCTACCTCTCCCAATCTTGAAGCTGTTGCTTTATATAGGAACATCCCCTGCTTGTGCCTGGGGGCTTGGGATGGCTGGGGGTGCCCCAGTTGGGCTTGAATAGATGTGGGCAGGAGGTTGGGGGGAAGGCTACCTTGGAGGTATGTCTGCAACTGTAATGAGCTAGGGGCCTGGGACTTGCTGAGGCAACAGGCTGGCTAGTGTTTCTGGACGTGTTCCTGTCTGTGCTATCAAGGTGAACAGGGGACATAAGCAATGGCACTTGCTAGTACCTCTAATTCCAGCATGAGTTCCAGCAACTCCCCCATTGTTTTATGGACTCTCTGGTCTTAATAAATTGGCTTCCTTCACTCATACTCTAGTTATCCTTTAAATCGCATGTTTTTTTCTGTACCCTAGGAGTAAATCTGTGTGTGGGTCCCTCTGTGCTATCCCTCCCTACTGTTGATCCTAATGCCAAGGGTGGGGTTCCCATCATTGCTGTGTCTCCATGTGGTCCCTGTATCCTTTTTTGTGCAGAAGGTATTCATTCAACCCTCAGTTCTTCGGGAGGAATTTATCTAATGTGTAGGTATAGATTCAGTGTGGGTGGGGAAGAGGTGAGTTCAGCTTCTTTAGACCATTTTAGACCAATCTCCTCTACATGTCTTTTAATGATACTTTTGGTACCAGTGGCTGACTGGATTAAGTTAACGAAATTCAGGAACACTTCATAGGAATTTTTCTGTGAGTATTTATCCTCTAGGGTGCTCACAAAGTCTGTCATTATTGAGTAGTACTGCTTTTAGTCAAGTTGATTAATAAAGACTCTTTCAACTTAAAAATCAATAGGAAAAAATCAGGTAAATTTTCAAAAAATTGATAGAGACAAAAGACTTTTTGGTGAAATGTAGGAGTGGTTTACCAGGCCTGGATTAATGCTAAGGTAGAAGTTACTATCTTAGTGATAGTTACTATCTGTGATAGTTACTATCTTACACAGTGACAACACTTCTTCCCTATGCCTGATCCCTCACATACAGCAACTTCAGATGGGAGTTTACCATATGCATCTATTGTAGAAACCTGTTCTCACAATTGTGGAATGTGAGTATCACACCTGCACAGTCTATCCTCCACCCCAAAACACTGTTACAGGAATCAGCATAAAGAAAAGTAACTGTTTCAAAGGTGATTATTACTATAGTTAGCAGGATCACTGATGACCTAGTGATAAATCAACTGTATTTACCAAAATATAGTTGATCAACATTTTGAATATTATTTATCATCTCTACTCTCACTAAATACAGCACCTTCCTCCACAGCCTGACAAAAGACCAATGGTAGATTCAGCCAGTTAAACCCAAAAGACCACACTTTTGGATTCCTTTGATCCTGAGCCTGAAGGAGGATATTCCACTGAATTAGATAAATATGCAGAAAGTCAGGAAATGAGCCACACCCATAGGTACAAGCTGAGATCCTAGGAACAAGGAATCAAATTCAAATGCCATGTCCAGGGGACAAGAATGGCGGGGTCAACAGTAAAGAAAGTAAGAGCCAGAGATGGAAACAGGCCAAACAGGATGATAGAAGTAGAAGCAGGCTGTGACTATGTGCTCAAAATTATGGACCAATATATTTATAAATCTGCTGTAAAAGGGCTTGTAGTAAGAAAACACCCAAGTTATGTTAATTTAAAAGCTATCAAATATTTCCCATATTCAGAAGCAAAACCAAACACTAGAAAAATGAAATACTTAACACAGGCTAACTAAATATTTCCATAATATAAAGCTTTCATCTCTGCCACAAGAACAAGATATTTCATCTGTTTTGTTCATTGATTTACCTTTGGCACCTAGTAGCTGAGACTGGCATATAATATTTAAATATTTGTTGAGTGCATGTATGCACTGATAAGTAAATATTTACAGTCTTTTTACTTAAGAATGGAAGCATTATGTGGTACAAATCCTAAACTTCAATATAAAATTTGAGGAAGCCATTCATTTAGATACTTCTCACACAGTATGAACTCTACTCTTTGTGTGTGCAGGAAGAAAGGGAATGGGAATGACTTGATTGGAATACTAAAATGAACTCTTTCCTTCTGATAATCACCATCCAGTGATTAAACCATTTCCCCAGCTTCCATTTATCCCCATTCTCCTAAATGGTTTTTTTCTTGCCTACCTGCATGTGTTATAATTACTCCTGTTGTTGGAAATGTGAAAATAATGGGCAATATAGAGGAATAATGGTGATGCTGGATCTCTGCTGCTATTTAATGTTTAAATTATTTTAATTTCTTACTATTTGCTGCTGCTTCAGTAAGAATCACCAAGACTGGTGTAAAGGATATAATAATGAAAAAAAATAATGCTAAGGATTACTCTTCACAGACTTATTTAAATCTTTAGAATGGTGAGGCGATAGGAGGGTGTGTAGGGAGGAGGGTCCATCGATACATTCAACCATTTTTTATTGAACAACTTCTCTGTGTAAGGCATGACGTGTTCCATGGTGTAGGTACGTAGCACTGAAAAAAATCTGTACGCTCATGGAGTTTACATTCTTTCACAACAGGCAATAAACAAATACATGAAAACTCTGTGGTGTGTCAGAGTGAAATTAAGGGGATGGGGAATGACAGAAATGTCTTACCAGGTTGAGTGTTCAAGAGGATTTCTTTAACGATGTGACATTTGACCTATGCCTGAAATAAATGAGGGACCAAAAGATTCGGGAGAAATTCCATGGGGAGGGAGCATAATAGTGGCCATGACTTGACAGTGTTCTTGGAGAATTCTGAGAACACCAGGAAGGCTATTGTGGCTGGGTTGCAATGAAGCAGATGGAAAAATGGCAAGAAATGATATCAGGGAAGTTTTCAGGACCAGATTATGTTGGGTTTTTCTTAAGTCCATGAAGTATATTCTATGTGGATCTGGAAACCATTGAAGATGTTTAGGAAAGGGAAGGGCTAGGCTCTGGCTTCTGTTCTAACAAAATATCTAGAGGCTTAACAGGGAAACCACTTGGGAAATTATTGCACAAATTCAGATGAAAGAAATTGATGGTTTGTCTACAGTATCTTTGTGGAAGTAATAATAGATTCTAAGACTTGGATAAAGATTTGCTGATGAGCTGGATATTGGATATGAGAGAAACTCGGACTTCTAAATAGAAAGGTTACATAGACTCTTTAATATTATGGTCTGGAGTTCAGATTAGAAATCAGGTGTGCAGATGTATATTTGGGAAACAATATACTTATGGTATGAAAGCCCTAAGACTAGATATAGATATGAATGCCAAGGAAGTAGTTTTTTATTTAGAAATGGTGTGGTGCCAGGATAGAGGAAAGCCAAGAGGGCATGGAGCCCCAGATGCCAAGAGTATTTCAAGAACGGTCATTTTGCCAAACAATGCTCACAGGAACATTTCAGCTATTATTATGAGAGATGGGGGCTGAATGATCCCCTACTCAAGTTAATTGAACCCGAAGAGTATTGCTTTTACCTTCTTTACATACGTAGGTTCCAAGTAAATTTTCCTTGAAACAAAACTTTTTGCAGCTGAATAATAAATTTGAAAACTAATGAACAAGAGAATTCACACCATTTGAAACTAATCAAGCCCCTCAGGGTTGAATTAAACAGATATAGGCAGAGGAAGGCATAAATGCTTGCTCTTATTCTGAACTTTATATACCTTATCTTTAGTTTCCAGCTAATCATTGAAGAGTGTATAAAACAGATGAGTTTTGAATTAAATCAAATGAGAACAAATGGAAATAGTTCATCGAATAAGAACAGTGCAGGAATGGATGCAGAGATTGTATTAAGACCTCTCATGGATTTCTTGGACAAAATGTAAGTTTTCTACCCAGTTTTCTTCTTATTCATTGCCTTAAATTTGACTTATGTGGGTTTCAGGGAGAGGAGAGAATGTTTTCCTCTATGTAAGACAGCTTTAAAAAGGTTTTTATAGCAGTTTATTAATTCATTTAAAACAAAACAAAACATTTTTAGTTCATCAATAGATAGGGGATAAAAAGGAGTGAGTTTGTATAGGAAAGGGAAAAATGGAGAGGAAATAAATATTAGTAACTAAGAAGGTTGCCGTTCTAAATGGGGAGAGCTTTAGAATTTCATGCTCCTCGGATAACTTTGTTTTGCATCCTGATGGACGCTGAAAAAGACTGAATTGAATCTGGAATATCTGATTTCATGTCAGAAACCTGCTGAAGGTGAGAATAGCACAAGTATCACCAGAATTATTTCAGCTCCTAGGCAAGTAGATTGCTGCCTGACTCGATCTTCATTCATTATTTTTGAATAAGGGCACTCAAAAATAAGAAACCTTGTTTTTTAATAAGGTTTGGGAAAACCTTATCTAGAGACTAGATAGTGAAGACTCCATGGAGATCAAAGTCTAGTAATGGTGAGAATGACCAACTAAGGCAGTGTTCTTAGCCAAAAAGGTTAATTTTTTAATGCTTCTGCTCAGTTCCTACTATTAGAATTTCTAATTTCATAAGTTTGAAGTAGGGTCAGTGCACCTATACTTTAAAATGTGTTGACAGTTGGAACCTATGATGTAAAGCATCTAGAGATATTTCTTACACTGATACTTAAAACCAGAACTGAAGGTAGAAAAGAAAACAAATAGTTTTGAATAACTACCAATGGACCACTATTATACCTGGTAGTTGACTTCATTTGTTATCTCATTTAATATCCTTATAGAAGATTAATTAATACCCAGGGGCCCAAGATAAATAAGGACACAATACCTTTCTTTAAAGAAAGGATAAGAAAGAAAGAATTAGTAGCTAGGAACTCTTCTGTATATTTATGCCTTTAATTCCATTTCCCTTCACTTATAATCTTACTGCATAAGTAAGATTAATGTTCTTAAGTCTTCTTGTCTGTTCAGTGTAAGGAAATATGTAGGAGATTGCTTAGCAGGAGGTAGGCAGGCAAATGGGTGTGAAGGGAGAGGAAGGAAAGGAAAAAGGCTTCTTCATTTTAGTTTCTTAATGTAGACTTTTACTCTTATCACCTAATTTTCTACATAACCCCTTGAAATTTTTACCTTGTTTATATGGTTCTTTTCTATGGCCAATACAGAACTGAATCTCATAAGTGCACCACCATTTGGTTGTAAATGTGACAGTGAAATGGAGAGCAAGACAAAGCAATCTAATTCTCTTCAAACTCCTGCTGGAGTGCCTTCTGTTTTTTGAAACTCCAGCCAGCACTTTGGCAATATATCATTTATCAGTAGAAGACTATTTACTTTTGTATATACTGTAACCAAAAGTTGTGGAACATACAGGAAGTCCTAAGTATCCTGATACTGTCAAATACTACATGAGGGACTTTGACTCCATTTCACCATCTATGAAATGGGGCTAATTCATAAAGGTGGGGGATCTCTTATTTTTAGTATATATAGATTCTTACTTTACTCAGTTGTAATTTTCTTCTTAGAATTACAGTTTATTATATCATAAAATCTATTCTAATTCTTAATAGAAAGGGACAGTTTATAAAGACAAATACATATATGAGCTTTAAAAATTTGGGAGAGATTTAAAATTTTTAGAAAAAGATATATGAGAAATTCTCAAGGATAATATTAGAATGAACAACCATAAAGCCACTCACTAGGGGAGATTCTTGAGATATTCTGTGCTCAAGGCACTAAAAGGTTAAGAAGAAAAATTAAGAGATGTATACAAATAAACACCATAAGGTATTAAGTAAAAATCTTCTGATCGGACAAATAGTAGAAATTTCCTTTAGGGTGGGTCTTTAAAGGTGGAAAGGGTTTGGATGCATGGAAATGAAGGGTGGGCATTCCAGGGGGAGAGAATATACATGGTATATGAAATTGTCTGCTTAATTGGCTTTGTGGTCAGCCAATCTAGATAGCTCAGGTTCCGACATATGTATTTTTTGGCTTGCATTACCAAGTTGATTACCTCTGACTAAAGTAAGGAAGCAGTTGCTAGAGTCCCCATTTTTCTCTGTTATTTAGAATGAACAGTATAGGGCTAAAGGTCTTAAAGGTGGCTTTGAGAAAAATTCCCTTACAAAATGTGTTATATTATAAATGTATAGGCTTTCTGGGCAGCCTCTCTAAATATAACATCTTATTTCTTTGTTTCATTTTCTCCACCAAGACCTTAGCACTATATAAAATGAGCTACAAATTCTACTTCTAGCTGACAGAAATCCCATGCAGAGTTGCACTTATGTCAACGATCTGTATTCTGTTCATTCAAGTCCAGTCTTAGTAAGGTTAGTCAGCATGCCAAGTACACGAGCTGACTGTAAAAACAAGGTCAATTCTTAAACTCAGACCTTTGAAAATGGAAATTACACATCTGCTCCAAATTTGGCAGATTAGTTATTTCTCAGATCTTCCTAGGAATTCCTCTGAGAATTTGTTGTGCCCTGACACATCTGCTATTTTCTATTCTATGTCCATATACTGAATATCCACCAGCAAGCTAGAAATGGTATCCTTGGACAATGGCTTCCAAATAAATGGGGCTACAGAGTCTCACAAATATGTTTCAGGGGTTCCCAACTCTCTTTTTCATCTAGAGGTCACTTTCATGTATTTTTAGGTATTAGGTGTCTGCATACAGTATTGTTAGGAGAAATACTTCTATGTGAAAATGTATTTCAGAAGTCTTTCCCTTTGCCTCTCATTAGTCACATATCTTTAAATATTAATTATTAGAGTAACAATTTTATGTATTTGAATATTTTAAATAGTCAATTCTGTCTCCATCAAAACCAGAATCCAGGTTATAATCTGAGTCCAAAAGTGTAGAAAGTTACTTAGGCAACTGTAACTCCAGGGGGAAAATCCTGGGGCAAAATACCTTTGAAACTGAAATCAGTCAAAGGAAGAAATAAAGTGGGAGAAACCCATTTATTTCTTACAAGCAGTCCACTTCTGCTCTCCTGTGTGTCTCGTGACCAAGCTGCAGAAGAGGGGCCTCCACCCAACCTCTCCAGTCCAGATAAACCCTCACTCTCCCTTGTAATCACCTATTGACATGGACATGGATTACTTCTCTCCAGCCCTTTGGAGACACCTATTGATATGTGGAGATGCAATAAGGCTAGGCAAGAGATTATGGAAATACTGCAGTTTTACCCTTAACAGCCCTGAGATACTGATTCACCTTTGGCCGTCTGTGAAGCAGGTATAACTCTTACTAAGGGAGGCACAAAGAATTCAGTCCTATGTATGCACCTGTGCCTTCTGATACAAATGCATTTGTCAAGGACAGTACGGAACATTGGACATCATACTGGATTTAGAAGAGAACCTCACTTTGGATCTCAGCTTTCTAGGTTTACTTCCTTCTACTAGGTCCCTAACCTTTCTTAGCGTGTTTTTTGATTTCTAAAATGGATAAAGTAATAAATAAGAAATATCTGCAGAAAAGATTTCTCAACTAAAGTGTTGTAAATGCTAGATAATGTGTACCATCATTGTCTCATCAGGAGAGGAATTTGTAAGCAACACCTTAAGCCTATTAAAGTTGGTAGATTTAGAATGAAAAAAAAGTATACTCAGAGAAGCCCAGAATAGATTGGTGGTTGCTAAAGATGGGAAAAATGGGTACAAATCTGTATTTATAAGTAAGTCCTGGGGGATGTAATGTATAGCATGGTAACTGTAGTTAACAAATTATATGTTTGAACATTGCTAAGACAATAGATCTTAAAAGTTCTTGTCACAAGAAAAAATAAAACTCTGTGAGGTGATAGATGTTAAGTAAACTTATTGTGGTGATCATTCAAAGTATATACACATATTAAATCATTATGTTGTATGCCTTAAACTTATACAATGTTATCTGTCAATTGCATTTATTCTCAAAACTGGAGAATAAATGGGTTAGAAAATTTTGGCTTCTGAGTGAAATTATATGCATCCTTGTCTATCATATGTTGGTTCAATGCCAGGTAGTGATAAAATGTGTTTCCTTGGTATTTGTCCTGCTTTAAGAACATGGGGCATGTAGTAAATGCAAGTCAGTGATGTGGGTGAAAATCATGTACTTTGGGAGCTTTGATATCAATTAAGGAAACAATTTAAGGAAAGAAATGCTCTGAATTAATTTTCTACCAAATAGTGAATTATCTAATGTATACTCTAATGCAACAGATTTTTGATACTATGTATTTTTCAGTAAATTAAATATAGCATTTGAAAATTATAAAGGCTATTCAGGTATTTGATCAATAAAAATTTTTATAATTTGATATGAGATTTGTAAGTGCTTATGTTTTATTTTAGATTAAGTCTCTCAGCAAAAATCTGTGAGAAAACAGTACTGAAGAGAGTTTTGAAAGAGCTGTGGAAGCTAGTTCTTAACAAAATAGAAAAACAAATTGTTCTCCCTCCTCTAACTGATCAAACAGTAAGTATTTAAACTAAAGCTTGATTATACTTTCAATAACCTAATAGTTTCTTGTTTAAGAAAATGGTTTGATCCAGTTGAACTACTAACTAAATCCACTTTGGGAAAAGAAGTGTTTGGTATATAATGTCTTTAAAATGATCATTCAAATGACATTTTCCTGTATGGATCAATTTTAAATAGTGGCAATAGCTGTCAAGCTTCATACATACTCAATATTCAAAAATTCATCTCTTGAAAAAAATGCATCAGAGTTCAATTTACAGGGCAGTGTGGTACACACATACAATTTTTTAAATTTTATTATGAATCCCCAAAGAAATAGATTTAGGATACAATATCCCCACTGTGTTTCTTTCTGAAATTTTATAGTTTAAGGAGAAAAATCCAATACTACTCTATGGAATATTTTTTCTTTCATCATTTTAATTTACTTTCATCTATTACCTTTCCAATTAAAGGTTAAGAGGAGAAACTCCTGTTAGTGATTTGAAGAACATGATTGTCCAACACAATGAAATAAAAAAGAACCAGAAAGATCAATGGCAGCAAAATTAGACAATGGTCAAGTGGATATACAGTGTCAGGCATCTCAGTGTCCTGAGCTAAGAGAGGAGAGAAATAACCCTAATTTATGGAGTAATTTTTTTTCCACAAATGAGGAAGACAAATTGATACAAATAATGGGTAAAGTTATAAACCAAATGTAAATATGTATTGACACTTTTTATACATACATATATATATATATATATGGATAGCCAAACCACATGTGAAAACACACACACACACACACACACACAGACTCCTTATTCTGCTACAATACATAATGCACTTCTCAAACACAATTCAGCTAGCATGCGATTGGTCAATAAAGAAATAATGTCAGTATAATCTAGAAGTTGAGTTGGTTTATGTAAATTTCCTAGGTGAGAGGTTCTGGAATATAATAGAAGATCTGTAAACTTCAGGAAAGGAAAGAACACTCATACTGGCAACTACACAAGCAGAGCCTTTTAATCCCTATTTTAAAAAGAAAAAAAGGTGGGGAGGACCTTCTTGTACACAGTTCTTCTATCCAGAAAGATGCACCTTGTATGGCTTTCACACAGGCAGGCTACCCTCCACTTTGATGGGCATTGTCTAAGCCTACAATTGCAGTTTTGTTGTTTGGGGCTTTTTTTTGTTTTGCATTGTTAATATCCCTTGCATTAGCCATCAGCCTCACTGAGCTCCCTGCAAACTATCTCCCAAAGTAGCACTTACTGTTCTTTATGTTACTTGGTAACAAACTTGCATGAGCTTTGACTGGGCTGCCCACTGCTATTTCCCCCATGAGCCTATTTCTAGTGCACAATTTTATAGAATATGGGGGTTTTCAAGAGTATATACATAATGTTTTAGCAGAAATGCTATATGTATATGACATTTCATTTTTGATATAAGGTCTTCCCTAGGAAAGCTTACCATTATTTCACTTACATCTAGCTTTCAGATTTAGTGTAAAGCCACAACACTCATTTATTCAATGCATGTTATTTGAGCTTCTATGTACTAGACAACATGCTGGGTGGGGGGATAAAAAATGAGCAAAAATAGACAGCATTACTCCAGAAAATACTGATTTTTCATTACTGTGAAAATATTCTAGTCTGTTAATGAACTTAGCCAAAGTTAGTACTTTCCCTGTCCCATTACCAACAGACATGCCTTTAGTTTTTCATCCTAGTAGCACTTTGTTTTGTTGATTCTGGTGTTTTCCAAACTCCTCCCAGGAACTTGGGGTTCTCCAAAAAGCCTGTGGCTGAGAGAGGCATTAGAAGGCAGGTCTCTGATACATTGGACAGCATTTCAGGAGGAGCAGCTCCACCTTCTCCAGCTCTGTATCTTGAAATTTTGCATAAATTTATTTTGAGGGAGGGAGTAGAGTGAGGCAGTTACCTCTACTAAAAATATATTAAGATTTATTTTAATTAATTTATTATGCTACATATGCTACATTAAACTGGATACATTAACAGTAACACAGACTTAAAATTTTCACAAGTGGGTCTCCCATGAGGACAGTTATATTGCCAGCAGTACTAGATATCTTGTACCCAGCATGTAAAATAAACCAATTAAGGACATATAGCATAAAGGTCACCAAAATAATAAGGGAAACAAAGGAAATTCTCTGTTGACCTCATTTCCACTGTGACTATTACTGAAGACCTTAAGACTCAGTCTTTTCTCTCCTTTTCTATTCTCCAGGGACCCCAGATGATTTTCATTGCAGCTAAAGATCTTGGACAATTATCCAAACTGAAGGTAATATGAGAAAAGAAATTACTCATAGTCTGTGAAAATTAATGAGCTAACTACAGCTCTGCAAGAAACCATCCTTCTACCAGGAATGGTATCTAGCAATGCAAGACAAGATATGTATCTGCGATCTCACAATTTGCTTCAAGGATGAATCAGGTCAAAATTTAGGGACTGACTTTTACAGTTCCATTCTTCCATATTTATACTATTTTCCAACTGGTAGAGCAACTGGGAATTTTGGACTGTTAATATGTTTTCTTTCATATACTAAACTGGCATTGTATGAATAAAAGCAAAATGGAATACTTTATAGAAATCTGATGAAATCTTGAGAATCTTAAAGGCAAAAAACCTAATGTGGGAAAGTTGAACTTATCCAAGCCGACATTGAACTTGTCAACATATTCAACCCCATTATAGAGGAAGATTTGCTGACTAAATAACCCTCCCTTTATTACTGCTTGAGATTTATAAATGACTTAGTAGTTATGCAGGAGACCTCAGGTTCTATCCTTCAAGGATAGGATTTGGACTGGTAACAAAATAACTTGCTTCTATAACTGATTCATTTCACTTAGTGTAATTGTCCTCCCGCTTCACCCATGCTGTCACATCTGGCAGGACTTCCTTCTTTTTAAAGGCTAAATAATATTCCATCGCATGCAAATACCACATATAGGCTAACATTGTGATTATAGTTAAAATACTTGTTTTTGTTTCATTTCTACCTATTAGAATATAGTGTAGCATGGTGTTGGGTTACAGACACAGACCACTTTTGTTCAAATTCTGCTCCCAACTGTGTGACACTGGCCAAAGTATTTAACTTTTTAATATTCAGATTTGACATTTGTAAAATGTGGAAAATTTTAACACTTGGTTCATAGGATTATTGTGAGGAGAAATGAGACAACACATATAGTACCTTGGCAGGACAACTGCAAAGAGTATCCCTCCTCCCCTCACAGAGGGGCTATCTTATCTACTCCCTCTGCTGACGACTCAGGTCATCACTAGGATTGTTTTGTACACTCACCCTGGGGGAAGGATGGGCCATCTGACTGTGTAATCACTTACTGAGATAAAACAGGTGTCCTATACTTCCAGTATTTTATCACTTACATTATCTCCCTCAGAAAAAAAATAGTTTAAGGCCAATAACCCATTTAGAAGATAGAACCATCACTTAAAATTGTTTCTCACAGTTATTCAGTAATGTTGATAGTTCACAGGGAAGACTGCCAAACTATTTTCTTGGATCTTGGATCTCTGTTCCTTTCTGTTTGCCTCTTATTTCCCTCTCTGGGATTTCTAGGCCCCACTATGAAAAATGGATTTATACAGTGTTGACATTTCTCATATAAAACTATTAAGGTGAAACAGCATAGTGTCTCATTACAAAAGAAATGGCCCTGGCTATGCCTCTAGCATCCTTGTGGTATTAGGAAACACACTCTTCCTGAGATTCAATGTCCTGAGTTGAATGTAATATCGGCTAGAACTGTTTACAGTTTCAAGTGATGGAAAGCCAGACTAATACAAGCAAGAAAGGAATTTACTGCTCCATGAAAGTTTACAGTCCTGGAATAACTCCGATTTCATCACTGCTTAATTAGGAACTCAAACACTGCCATAGAACTCAGTTATTATCTCTCAGCTCTCTCCTTGTTTGATGTATTGCTGTAACAAACCTTCTTGCCTGTTTGTAAGATGGTCATCTCTCCTCTATATATATCTAACATCCTTTAAACTTGAAATCTTATAGACAAGAACACCCACCCTGATGCAAAGATTTCCAGCAAAGCCCACTGGCACATCATTGGCTCTGATGAAGTGTTATCACCATTCCCAAGCCAACCACTGGGGCCAGGGAGTAACATGTTACTTGGCTCACCTCACATACCCACCCCTGAGCAGGCAGTACAGTCCACCCTGTCCAATTTTATGAACTCTGAATGGGATAGAAACTGGATCCCCAGAGGGCAGATGTATGCAAGGTAGGCAACATCAGAGTCTGCGGAAAACATAACATGTCAGGTTCAGTGAATTCTCTTTTGGATTGTAATAAAATAAAAGCAAATTATGAACAAAATATCCTAAAGGGTTACTTCATCAACACTGAAATAATCTGAAGGACTGAAAGTAGAATCTTGTTATCCATGCATGATGAAAAAAACTTACATATGAATCATAGCTTTCTACTATCACCAACTCTTGGTTTTAAAATTTTTAGTCTATTTAGTTGTTGTTATTAGTTCAACTGCAGACCAATAAGACCTGTAAAATCTTATGAAAAAAATTAAAACTCTAGATGGAATAAAGAGCTTCAAATTTTACAAAGTTATTTTCCCTTATTTTACTAGAAAGTCACTTACAAAGACCCATGGTTTTTAAAAAAATTGTATTTTTCATACATTAGTGTGAAAGCAGATTTGATCCACTGGAAAAGTGCTATTTTAAATCATTGTACTGATGGATACATTCAGAAATCCTGTGGAAATATTAACAAATAACTACCTGACTTAAATAGGAACAAGGAAAACAGAACAATGAAGGGAATTAATTGTTTTAAGATTCAATCATTAAACAAATTTATTCAGCAGTTTGACATATTCTATATGTCCAACTAAAATTTTTTTTAAAAATGAGTACATCATCATGGACAGGTGATACAATAGCCAGACCAATTAATAAAAATACATCTGAGACTGAGTTTACTGCAAAGAAGCAGTAATTCATTGCCAGTCTCTTGAAAAGACTCCCTTATTTGAATGAACTATTGTCAAATCCCAGATTCTTTCTTGCAAGAACTATATTTTTCTGTAACACATATATTATTAATTAGCTTCTATTAAAAAATAATTGTTAAGCCAGTCAAGATTGAAGAAACCAGAGGGGATTATTTGTATTTACTTGCCCTAAAGCATTTCCCATTACTCATTGAGTCTCAATGTGTATTTAATGTTTCTATTTTTAAAATGTTAAATGGAGGCATGTTTTGAGTTGAAATCCCTGTATCAAAAATGTAGTAAGATGCAGAAGTATGTATCATGGATCCATAAGCATTCTATATGTTGTCAATAGTATTCAAAGTAGCATAAGTCCATTCAAGAATTTGAACCCTAGAAGATATGCCGAAGGAACTACAATTCAACTACCAAAAATATGTTGAATGCCTCGGAAGTTATAATTGCTAAGATACACACTGAAGGCTGCAGAAGTCAGTGAGGCATGGATAAAGACTATCTTCAGGAAGCTATGGCATCTACTGAATAACAGAATAAGGGCTAGAAGGATGAGCACACAAGTGCTCAACTAAGGGAACAAATGGTGTAGAAATAGAACCCATGCTCCACTTGCCAAGCTGTATCATCTGCTGATGTGGAGCTGTGCCCTATAGAAAGAGGGGCACTTTTTATTATTGGCCAAAGTCACTGATTCACTGAACAAACCATATTGTCTCAGAGCTATGCCCACCCTTTTTCTCTAATTCATACAAAGGCACCTCTATAAGTTAGAATTTAAGCTCCAGGTGGACTAACGTCTTTCTTTTATTGAATAATGTATCTCAATCACCTAGAACAGTACTGGACATGATAAGCACTCAATAAATATTTGTTGAATGTTTTTGACTGAAATAGTGGCAACCCTGAGGAGAGTGTGTTCATCTGGGCTGGAGTCCGGAATTTAAAATTTTTTTCTGTGACACAAATTTCTCTTTCCTTTATTATTGTCTTCAACTTTTTACCATCATTTCCCTAAAAAAAAAAAAAAAGATGTGTCAGGACAATCTGTAGTGAACAATAAGGAAAATCCATTGTAGATTTGGAAATCAGTTCTAAAATATTGAAAAAAGATTTAGATTATTGAAAATTTCCAAAGCCAAATTCAGCCAACTCTTTGGGGTTTCCCCTAGTAATGACAAAGCACTAAAGTGATCCAAGAAAAGAATAAATTGGGAACATTATACTACAGTAGATTTTATCAGTAGTAATTGAAAGAAGCTAAAATCCACCTCCTTAATCCCTTTCATGATTGACCTTCCTCAGTATAACAGAACACAATGCAAGGAATAAAGGTGAAAAGGCTTTGACACACGTTTTCCAGCTTTCTCTCTTTTTTCCTAACATTAACTTTCAAGTGAAAAAGCCATGTAAGAATAAAAGTACTGCTCTTCTTTTAGCAAAATGAATATTTTATTAAATATGTAGAAGAAATCATCTAAAATGCTTCCACATGAAGAAGACATTTCATCTAAGTTATGTTTATATGGCGATTATAGAGATTTCTTTTTTGAAAATAGTCATTAAATAAATGAACTGATAGTCTATAAGCAATTCTTAACCTGTTTTCCAGGAGCACATGATTCGAGAGGATGCCAAGGGTCTGACGCCAAGACAGTGTACTGTAATGGAGGTGGTCCTGGCTACCATCAAGGTAAAGTGATAGTGCCCTTGGACATGCATCCAGAGACCTCTGTGAACCCTCAGAGGCACCGCAGCTGCTTTCCCATCCATAGATACAGTGGACAGTTACATAGATAATATTCCCAGAGTGTGACAGACCTAGCCCATGCTATCTCCTTATTACACCATATTACTCTGCCCTTATATTGCTTCCTTTGTCTTTATCTAGAAAATGTGTGTGAAAACTATATTGTAACATGTGTTTTCAGAGAAAGGTAACCCCAAAGCGTAGTTAAACAGATGCTTCAGGGGGTTGGGGATTAACAATTTATTTTTATGTTTTCCATGCTTGTTGAAATGGTTTTGAAAAGATCAATCTTCTTTCTTCTCTCTCTTACTAAGTGCAGTAATTTAATTTCCTGCTGAAAACCCAAAGGCATTGTGTTGTGTGCATCATTTTTTCATAAGCGAGATTGACCAAATATGGGCAGATCTAATTCCTTTTATATTTATACATATAGATTCATATGTAAAAGTTTATTCAAGAGTAAAAAATCAATTTATCTCCTAAATCTAAGCCATGTCTAATGTCTCCATGTTTCACTGGGGGAAGCATCTATTATCCAGGATGTGCGGACAATGTGGCGGAGAACCATTGGCACCAGCCATTTTCAGAGTGCAGAGCTGGCTCTCTGGATAGAAACAGACATTACAATGGTATTCATTAAAACAGAGGGCAACTTGCACAGCGGTTGAACACCTTCACAAAACTATTACCTCATGGCTTTTGTTTTGCAGTTCAGCATTTAGTGAAAGGCCAACTTTTGCTGCTTCGGTGTCAAAAACTGTAAAATGATAGCTGTGAGGTAAGAATTTTGTGACCTGGCGGAAACAGAGTGAATTTAGGCAGTGAAATTACTAAATTGCAATGAATTTAGCAATGAAATTTCTCAAGATGGAATAATAGTGTTGTCTGTAAGTATGGAAATTTTGCAAAATCATTCTGAGGAAAAAATTAAAACATGAAAAAGAAATACGGGAAAAATATAAGACCCATTCTTTTAAAAATTATTTTCAAACATCTGAATAAGAAATTATTGATTGACCTTTAGAGTTATAGCAGCTCTATTAGCTACAAACAGGGAAATGCCACTAGAAAAAAAAAGAGAAAAAACTTTGCAGTATACAATGAAAGGGAAAAGAGCAGGTGTTTAGAATCTGAATTCAGCCCTTCATGGATTTTATTAAGTCAATGCATGACTTTGAGAGGAAGGAAAATGTGCTCTGTGAAAATAAAGAATGGCACTGAATATACTGACAGATGTAGCTTCTGTCCCCGGCCCCAACATTTCTCTAAATCTTGTTGGGAACCCATGACCATCACCTGCAGGCCTGGTGCTGCCCAAACTCTGGGCAACCCTAGTCCTCAAGCAAATCCCCAGGATTTACATCGTGACAGTGCAGTTATCTCATTCTCCTGTCCAGGCTACCAGTGATGACCTTTTCATTCAGCCTCTGGTTCCAGACACTTGCCATGCTCTCAGATAAAACCAGTGCCTGGTGTCCAAGATCCAAGAAATGGATCTATGTCATTCTCTTGTTACTCCAGGACTGGAGTCTGGCCCTGGTCCTCCTGAGCCTCAGAGCCTGAGGTCGGGTCTCTAGTCCCCCTCATTCCCCAGCTTCTGGGTTCCAACTCTTTCTCTGGGTTCTCCATTGCTGCCCGCTATGAGCAATCTCGTCTCTGGTTTGATGACCTGCCAACGCATTCACCTGACACCTGCTTTCATGGCCCTGCCCTCAGTCGGCCAAAGCTAGGACTCCCTTTATATTGTCTGATTCTGAGATTTGCCCCAACTGACTTTCCTATCAAGCAGTAATTCTAATGCTGATTACAAAGGAGCTCAGGAGCAAGAGGAGCACCGCCCAGAAGAAGTGCGGCCCGAGACTGAGTATTTCAGTGTTTGCTTGGAGCCCAGCACAGGGAAATCCTGTAAAGCAAGCAGAGACTTCATGAGAAAGACATACTAATGGAGGCAGCAGATGCTACACAGGCTGCTTCCCAAATGCTACCAAGATCTTATCCTTACTTCCTTTTTAGCTCAATTTAAGCAAATAAACTGGAAGTGAGAGCTGAAGAAGGAGCATGCTGTGACTACAGACTGCAACAATGTTTCATATTCTCTTTAAATACCTTTCATGTACATGCACCACCTTCCCTGTTCCTTATAAACATCCTCAATATTAGGTATATCAAGGATAATCATTCACATTTTATAGATGAAAAAAACAGAGGCTAAACAGATTAGAGCTGTTTTTCTAAGGTCAGAGAGTTGCTAGTAATTGGGGGAGCTGAGAAAGGACTCCAAACTCTAAAATCAGTGTCCTTTCTTCTAGGCCACATCATATCACTAAATATTAACAAAGTGTTGGTAAAATGTAGCAGACCACAATGGATAATATTTCTTCATAGACACTAGTTCTTTCTAAATTAAAATACCATATTTCAATTATTAAGATTTCCTAATTATTTAAAAATAATTTAAAATAGTCTGCCTTCTACAGAAGTAGTAATGAAAATGTTCTCTTAAATACTAAAATTTAATTGGACTAGAAAATTCTGTAATACCAGTCACATGTAGTTTCAATTATAAGTCAAAAGGGTAGACTATGGCACAAATAACAGAAATTACAGTGATGTGCTACAGTTACCTTGTTTGGGCTTTGAGACATTCCACTCGCCTGCTAACACACAGACAAAAACAGAAAATAAAAGTAGATAAGAGGAGGAAGTGGAGGAAGAATAGTGGAGGAAGATGGTTGAATAGGTCACTGTGATAACCTCCTCCCATGTACACACCAAGGAAGTAATTATACTAATTCACCTAACTCTGAAAATGACCAAAGACCACAGAACAGACTTTCTACAATTAGTGAAAAAAAGAGAAGAACCCATTGAGAAGGGTAAAGGGTCAGAAGAAGATCAATCAGGATCCAAGTCCTCCCCCATCCCAACCCATAAACAGGAGGGAAAGAGAAACAGAGTGGGGAGGAGAAAAAGCTCAGGAACTCAGCACACCTGGGCCTGGGGATCTGCTCTGGGAAAACAAGTCACCATAGCATTGGACTTCGAAAATGAATGGGGCTGGACACCAAGGAGAGTTGGAGCACTGCGAGAAGCTGAATCTCTGCTAATGGAAGACAGGCATGCTTTGTTGATCCCTCTGAGACACAAAACAGAGGCAGCAATTTGAATGGAGATTTGCTAGCCTTGGGAAGTGTGCTGGATGGGTGGGGGTCTTGGGGAGCTCTCTCCAGAGGAGAAAGGGCTGGAGGATGCCACTGTTTCAGGCCATCCACAGCCCAACTGACCAAACACTTGCAGGAGCCTGCTCTGAAACTCTCCACCAACCCCACTTGCTCAGCCCTAGAAATCCATTGTAGACCTGCCCCTTCACAACACACCCAGCCCAGTAGAAGTTGGACATTGTGGACAGCCAGGCAGTAGGAAGACCTGCCCACAGAACACCAACAGCAGTCATAACTCAGCCACAACAGGGAATACCCCTGGAGCACCTGGCTCTGGTGAGAAAGGGGTTTTGTGCTTCTAGGCACCACAGGATGACTACTACACAATGCCACTACTTGCAAGACCAGGAGCCATATTAAGTAGATTATTTCCTTTCCCAGGATTGCGAAGTTTTCAGCTATTAAGTCTTCTAACAAACTTTCTACCTCTTTCTCTCTCTTCTCCTGGGGCTCCTATATTATTAATATTGTTTCATTTGGTGTAGTCACAGAGCTCTCTTAGCTCTAATCTACTTAATTCACAGAAACAAACCCAGAGAGCCAGATGATATGAACAGGCAGAGGAATATGTACCAAACAGAAGAATAAAACACAACACAAGAAAAAGTGCTAAATGAAACAGAGATAATCTATCAAACTGATAAGGAATTCAAAGTAATGGTCATGTAGAGACTCAATGAACTGGGAGAAAAAAGATGATCTCAGGGAGGATTTCAATAAAGAGAAAATGTAAAGAACCGGTCAAAGCTGAAGAATACAATGACTGAAATGAAAAATATAATGGAAGTAATGAAAAATAGACTAGAGGATGAAGAAGAATAGGTCAGTGAGCTGGAAGACAGGGTGAGAAAATAACAAAGCTAAGGAACAGAGCATAAAAACAATTTCTAAAAATGAGAAAATGCTAAGATAAAGAAATCAGTCTAAGAGGAGTATAAAACAATTGTAAATATCCATGCACCCAACATAGGGGCACCTAAATATATAAAACAAATACTACCAGACCTAAGGGAGAAATTGACAGTAACACAATAATAGTACTAATGGATATATTATCCAGACAGAAACTCATTAAGGAAACAGAGCATTGAACAATGTTAGACTAGATGAACTTAGATGTACACAGAACATTTCACCCCAAATCAACAGAATATAAATTCTTCCCAAGCATACATTGAATGTTCTCTAGGATAGATAACATATTATAGCACAAAGCAAGTCTCCATAAATTTAAGAAGATTGAATTGTATCAAGCATATTTTCAGACCACAATGGTATGAAACTAGAAGTCAATTACAAAAAAAACTGGAAAAACAGAAAGGTGGAGGTGAAACAGCATGCTTCTAAATAATCGCTCAATGAACAGATGAAAGAGGAAATTAAAGAGTACATGGAGACAAATGAAGATAGAAACACAATGGTGTGAAATATGTGGCCTGCAAAAGTGGTTCTAAGTCAGAGGTTCATAACAATTCAGGCCTAACTCAAAAAACAAAAGCAATACCAAATAAACAATCTAACCTTACAACTAAAGGAACTAGGAAAAGAAAACAAAGCCCAAAGTTCATAGAACTTGGGACATAATAAAGATCAGAGCAGAAATAAATGAAACAGAGAATAAGAAAATAAAAAAATCAATGAAACCAAGAATTGATTCTTCAAGAAGATAAACAAAATAGACAAACCTTAGAAAAGAAAAAGAAGTTACAATTGACTCCACAG